GAACTAATAAATTAGTAGATTTCAACTGCTGCTTTTAGTAGGTTGAACAAGTATGATTTTTTTTCTTTTTTCTTAAAACATTTTATGTGGTTGGAGTGAACGTTTACAGAGCAAATTCATTTCTCATTCAGCAATTTATTACATTAATTGTAATCCCCTCTGTCTAACATTACTCTTCCTACACCCTCCTTGGGTTACCAATTTTCAGTCATCCTCTTTCCTGACACCGTCTATCTATTTTTTCAGGCAAATGCTGCCATCTTCGTCTTTTATGCTGAATATAATTGGGAGGAATATACTATTCAATTTATAGACCTATCACATGATCCTTGGGAGTAGGTTTAGTTCTAGGATTAAAAGGTTTCTAAGGTCCACAGTCTCAGGGATCCTACCAGTGCCTGTCAGACTATTAAATCTGGTCTATACATTTTTCTTTCTTTCTTTCTTTCTTTCCTCCCTTTTAATTTATTTTTATTATTTTATATTTTCTTTCTTGTTTAAATTTTTAAAAATCATTTTATTGGGGACTCATACAGCTCTTCTCAAAATATATACATGCATACATTGTGTCAAGAACATTTGTACATTCGTTGCCATTATTTTCAAAACATTTTCTTTCTACTTGAGCCCTTGGTATCAGCTCATTTCCCCCCTCCCTTACCTACCCTTCCTCCCTCCTGAGCCCTTGATAACTTATAAATTATTTTTTCATGTCTTACACTGACCGATGTCTCCTTTCACCCAATGTTCTGTTGTCAGTCCCCCAGGAAAGGGGTTATTTATACATCATTGTGATCAGTTTCCCCTGTCTCCCTCCATCTTCTCCTTACCCTCCTGGTATTGCTACTCTCATTATTGGTCTTGAGGGGCTTATCTTTCCTGGATTCCCTGTGTTTCCAGCTCTTGTTTTGTAACCGTGTACAAGCTCTGGTCTAGCCAGATTTGTAAGGTAGAATTGGGACCATGACAGTGGGGGGTACGAAACACTGAAGAACTAGAGGAAAGTTATATGTTTCATTGGTGCTATACTGCACCCTGCCTGGCTCATCTCTTCCTTGTGACCCTTCTGTAAGAGT